GCTTTCAAAAGCATTTTCTTTTCTGGCACAGCCTAGCCTGTGGTCTCCCTCCTGCTCCTCATCCATTTTTGAGGGAAAAAGCCTTTATGGTGGCATACACTAAAATGCACCTGCCCAATAAATAATGGGAGCTACTGGTGCCTGAGGGAGAACATACAGACGGTGGTGACCATGAGGAGTGACTGCTGGTCTGGCTCAGGACAGATAGCCTCTTCCATATTGATGCTTCTGAGTGAGGAGGCTCATTGGGTACTGGTTTGGGGAGCTCCACTGTGCTGTGACTTTGAGTAATGGGTTTATCTCCTGCTGAGCTTAATGGGAGATGTGTCCCAAGAAAGGAGCTGTCTGCTCAGACCCTGGCACAAGACTCCCAGAGCATGGGTCCTGCTGCACTTGTGTGCTATAGGACTGGATCCTGGCATTCATATTTCGCATGGACCTTAAGTCTTTTGTCAGTGGTTGCAGCTATTAGGGGATATATCCTGACCATAGCAATCACAGCAGCTCTGCTCAGTGGATGGATCATGTCACATTACTTCTCTGTTGCATGATCTTGTTGCCTAAAATGTGACGCTGATGAAACATGGCGTTTTTTCAGGGAGATGGTACTGCACAGACCAACCTTATCGAGAGCCCACAACCCTCTGAGATGGATGCTCTTGGGGTTGCTCTGGGACCCAGCCCACTGATTCACAGTCTGCTGGATAAAAAAGTTATGACCCTGGGATATGGGAATCACAGAATCACAGAATCGTTTAGGTTGGAAGGGACCTCTGGAGATCATCTAGTCCATCCTCCCTGCTCAAGCAGGGTCCCCTAGAGCATATTGCCCAGGATCACATCCAGACGGGTCTTGGATATCTCCAGGGAAGGAGACTCCACTACCTCTCTGGGCAACCTGTTCCAATGCTCAGTCACCCTCACAGTGAAGAAGTTTTTCCTCAGGCTTAGGTGGAACTTCCTGTGGTTCAGGAATGGGAAATGCAAGCTTCTCTCCTGGGTCTTCTATTGACTCCCTGTGATCTCTTGGGCAAGCTGTGTTACCACTCTCTGCCTCATGCTACCTAGCCACAAGGCAGATATAGGACTCACCAGATATATGGCAAAAGTCTCTGTACTGGTGTCTTGCAGTGGTGGGAGCTGTAGTATGGTAGAGCATTTAGAGCAAGGACAATACAATCCCTTTCTGTAGTGTGAGGGGACAGTCCTGGGCCAGCCTTATGCCACTGTTTCCAGCCTACTGGGAAACTATGGGGCTGGGCTGAATCTTTCTGCTCTGGGGAGAAGGTAGACTCCTTACACTTTTGTGTTTGTGCAACCTCCTTCAAATGGCAAATGCTTCTGGGTTTGAACCCCTCTCAGTGGCTTGCAAATGCCTGGGGTTGTCCTGGTCACTGAAACAAACTGATATTTAAAGAAAGCCAAGAGTGCAGGCAGTCCTATGCTTTACATTGTAGCAGGTGGCTTGCTTGGGTCCAGGCAATCATCCTTGTTTTCTCGGCCCCAGCAGGGTTATAGAGTCAGGAAAAAAACTGACTAGGGAGGCAGTTGGGATGGGAGGGCTCTGGTTAGTGTTTGGTATTGAGGAAGCAAGAACTGAAATCCCTTGGAGACTGCCTTAATCCTGATGAAAAAGGCAATGGAGAGCGGGAAGACTTATCTCTGAGATGTGCCAGGAAAGTGAGTAGGTGGTACGGAGGCAGCCTGATGTCATACAGGGACAATAGTGCAGCAATTTGCCCTTTCTAATGGCAGATACCTCCAGTGGTGGTATCAGGATGTGGAAAGTCACAGGGGAGGCATGTTGAGATTGGAAGGGCTGTGACTTCCCCTTGTCTATTCTTACTAGTGTAGGGAGAGCCCCTTGCTCTGTGCTTGAGAATTCTGACCGCTTGTCAGTCTGCCTATGCAGCAGTCATTGAACACTGGCCCACCCTGACTCTTCTGCTCTCCCTGCATCATGGATGGGAATTACACTGAGGCTCTTGAACAGCCTGTCTGGTGGTCAGAGTCCCTCTTTTTGCAGGGGTGGCCTGGATTTGCTTGTGCCTTGAGCAAAGAGAGGAATTTTGGACCCTCTTCTGTCTTAAGAACTCTGATTTTTTTCCATTCAAATGTTTTTTCCCCCTTTGTGAAGAAAGCTGCCTGATTAGCAGCAATTAACAAAGTAAACTGCAGTAATGACCTTTATAGTTCTGTGCAGCCTCTTTGAGCACCCTGAAGCAGAATGAGCCAGATGTTCAGGATTTCTGCTCTGCAACACAGGGCCAGGACAGGACAAAGTGCAGTGGGAAGTATGCAGGAGGGGCTGCGCTGAGCAGGCAATAATGGTCACTGGTCTCTCTGGGCCTCTTTCTGCTGAACTTCAGCTGGGCAAACCCCCATGTGCAGAGCATCTGCAAGCGCTTCTCCTAATGCTGATCAGAAAACCAGCCGGGCTGCAAAACCCAGCGCCAGTTGCAGAGCCTCTCAAGGCTGTGCCACTTGGAGCTCAGTAGCTGATATGCCTCTTGCACCACATCAGGCTCTAAAAACTCCTAGTATACCCTGGCTCACCTAGTTCTTTCAGTCAGTGCATGGCTTGATCTCAGCTTTCCCTGTCTTACTGCTGTGCAAGAGTGTATCCAGGAGAACGCTGGACTCAGGTACTGCTTTTGCATCCATCACTGATAATTCTCTTTTCATCTGCTTCTTGGGCTTCGCCTTTTTAATTCAGCTGTCTCCTGATTTACAAATGTTCTTTCCTCAGTTATTTACACCAAGCTGCAGGGCTGTTTCCACTCATCTCCGGAACATGATGGGAGACTGGAGCTGTGCATTCAGCTGGGGCTTCACAAGATACAGCTGGGTGCCCAAGAACACTAGGACAACCTTGCTGCCCCATGCAGTGTTAGTCCCCACTTATGCCTGTGAGCAAACCAGCCTCCTCAGACTTCATCAGAGGAGGAAGGTTAGTTCTTTTGTCTTATTCCTCCCTCCCACCTGGTGCAGGTGTGGGGATTGCATCTCAAGAGACGTGAGGAAAAGGTGCCTGGGTTTCTTGGAACAGCGAGTTTGAGAATAAGCAGCCTGTGTCTGCTCCTACTGCAGCAGTTGTTGAGCTCCTGTCTGGTCCATGGGGCATGGATTGGGTTAGAAGAGGTCACCTAAGCAATGATGACTCTCCATGAATGCCTCTGCAAGGTACGACACCGGAGGGAAGAGCTGAGTCTTCTGCACAGCAGACTTTACAAGAAGGGAAACCAGTGCTGCCTCTGATCCCACATTCAGGAGACAGAAGGAGGACTTCCCAGAGTGAGAGAATGAAGTTTCAGCCTTGAAATGAAGTGAAATCAGAGCTGGGAGGTGCCAGATCCCCTCACTGGAAGGAGGGGCTATGGGGAGAGGCCTGGGGCATGGGGATAGCCTGTCCCACTCCAAAGTCTCACAATGGGAACTCTGCCACCCTTGGTCCCACCTGGGATTTCAGCCTTCCAGTTTGAAAGATGAGGTTCTGTAGCAATCCTCTCCCTCCTGCAGTTTGCCCTCCCTAGAACTCCCCCATCTCCTGCACTGAAGGGGCTGCAGGCATAGAAAGATGGGTGATGCTTGCAGGGACATGCTGGGCTCCTCTCCCATGCCGGAGCACCCCACAGACAGCTCCACTGAGCTGCTTCCCATACTAAGGACTGGCTCAGGCCATTCCTGCACCAAGGCTGTTTTATCTCCATTTCTTAATACTCTTATCTTGAAGGTTCCTCTCAGATTAAAGCACAGGCAGGCAGTGCCCTCCCTGGATTTATTGCAATGTAGTTTTCTTCTTCTAATCCGATCAGGATGTAAGCTGCTCTTTTCAAAATGCACAAGGAGGATGGATGTGGATGACACTGGTGCTGTGAGGTAGGCTGACTGGAAGCAGTGGGAAGGTGTCCTGTTGGTAACACAGGTGTCCGGCTTGGTAACACATTGACTGCTTTCATAGCTTGAACTACATTTCTCCTCTGAGCATCAGGGGAACATGTAGGTAAAGTGCCAAGTACACCGACAGTCATAAGGCAAAAGGTTTGCTTTTGGGCAGAATATGTTGTTCTCCAGCATACTGGAATCTGTTGGTCTTCCTGGACATCCTCATCAAGCTGAAGCCCAATCTTTGAGGAACGGGACTGTTCATCTCAACAGGACCCTGAGGGTGGAAACCTCAGCAGGGGTTCATGTGGCATCTGAGGATCTGGCCTTTGCAGTGTGACTGCCACCCAGTCACAGTGGATTGATTATGCCTGGTTAGCTCATGAAACAGTAGTCATGCCTGGAGCAGGGCTGGAGAAGCCAGGGATGGTATTGAAACCCTGCTGAGTTCCTTCCTTGCCTCTGCCTCCTGCTCTGCTGAGGGACGAGGGAGCTGAGATCACGTCTCTCTGCATCACTGTCTCCCTGCAAGGTGTCTCTTGGTCTATCTAATGAGTGCCTTATGTGTGAGGACCCTCACCATGGCTAATGGAGGACAGCATGTTAAGTAGTAACGCTCTTGGGCAGCCAGGATAGCGTGACTTCCTGCTTGGCTGGCTGGACTGGCCTTAAAGAAAGCACCTTCCCCACCAGTCCTTCCTACATTGAATCTGCATGACTGGAGCGTGAGGAAGGGCAAAGCTGGCAGTGGCTGTGCCAGGCTATGGCACTATTGGGAGTATAAGCAGAAAGCATATCCCAGTGCCCCCATAGGGCAACCCAACATGGTAACCAGGTCTTATGCAGCCCTGCTTGATGTGTTCTTGGGAACAGCAGCGATATGAGGGCTCATGGAGACATCAGAGGGCTGATGGAGAGCAGCATCTGTGGGAGATGTGGGGTACACAGGTGTGCTCCAAGCCTGATAGCCAGTGACATATCTGGGATCTGTTTCCTCACTGTGTAGGCCTGAAGAGACACTGGGTGGGGAAAGAAAATGATTCTTCTACAATGGGGGAAGGGACTGAGCTTGTTTTATGTCTCTCTGAACTCAATCTTTTCTTTGTCCTTCTCAGCCCAAGGAGACTGGCGAGCACTGTCACAGGGTCACTGACTGGCTGGGGCCGCCCTGCAGCCAATGCATGGACGAGCAACATTCCCCAGCTCATGAATGAAAGCATCATCCTGGCGAAAGAGGGGCATCCCACTGAAGAGCGTTCAGGCTGTGAGTGCTCGGGGCACTGTGGTGGGTGCAGGGCCTGGCACAGGAGCAGGAGCTGGGGAA